TTAGCCTTACAAGCGCAAAATCACCTCAGGCTATTGCACAGTTCAATGCAAAGCTATTCTGCGCAGCACCAATGGCAGATGTGCAGCGTAGTCCTAGATGACCCCAGCAGCCTCTAGCACATGACCTGTCCATATCCTTATTGAGTCCATAAGCAGGGAGACTGGACTCCTTACATTATAAGATTATTTCCTGCATTTAGTTTTTCCAATGCATTATTTTCCATGTTGTGAAAATCACATGCTGTTCTCTGAGTTCTCTGGTTGGTGGACGGTTTATTCCTGAAGAAACAAAACAAGGGTGGTTTGTTTCATGTTCCAGGAGTCCCTGACAGAACAGCCTGGCTAAAGAGAAATGATAGCTGGGGAAAGATAGCTAGTAAATGAGTACATAGTCTGAATTTACCACCAGATGGTCACTCACTTTGGAGAGAGACTTTATCTGTTTTGATAACAGTAATTTAACTTTAAATCTTCTCTTGTGGTTGTTGCTAGTTTACTTGAGACACAGCAAGGATTCACAGGAAGACAGCTGGGCAGTGGTTTGCACTCTGACATTTTTTTCTGGATGAATCTTTAAATGGGAAATAACCTCCGTGACTGTGACTTGGAGATCTTGTGTGTCAACAGCAGAAGGGAAACTTCGCAAAGGGCTGAAGCCCTGTATAAATAGGAAGGCAGTGGATACACTGTTACAAGGCCCTAAAGGAATGTCTTAAGGATTTTACGAGCGCTGGCTGTAGGGAGTGCAGCCTGATCTTCACTTTCAGAAGACAAGACCAGGTTGTAGAAACAGAGTATTGTGTGTGGTCAAATCCAGGACACGTACTCATATTGCTGCTTACACATGCATACTCCCTACAGAGCTGACCTGAGTACTTTAAACATGGCATATAGATTATCTGTGCAGGTGCTCCCCTATGCAAACAAACAATGCTTTTTTTCTCATCCTTTTTTACAATGTCATTGAACACCCCTAAAGAAAATAAGTCTGAAATTTCTGTTGTCAGATAGGAGATGTGAATAACTGGACTTGATTAAAAAACTATTTTAAAGCAAAATTAAGTTTTCCGAACTTTAGAGAATGTACCTTCTGATCCCAGAATCAGCTCGACTCAGATATTTTTACTGGGAAAAAAGCTTTTTTACATGAGCCTTTTCAACAACTGAGAAGCCTGGCTTGGGTTTTGAGGGATCAAATGCTGTGCAGATTGGGCTCAGCGCTAATTTAAACACATCATCTAAAAACTAATTATCCAGATCATCATTAACGATAATAGCCTAGTCTGACCAGAAAATAATTAAGCATTCTGCATTCTCTTGTTTTTCTCTCTGCAAAAAGTGCCTATTGCGCATACTGACTCAGTGGGGAAGGTGTTCGTTGCTGATTTACCAATAAATTCTTTTTTCCTTGGTGAAAGGATAATGAAAGAAACAGAAATCAGACAGCAGGAGCATCATGAAGTGATTTTGCAGACAGCTGTCCAGACAGAAATCTGGTGAGGGAAGGTGAAAGAGGTGAAGAAAAGGTTTTGAAATACAATGACAAATTCATTGTATTTCAAAAAAATAGGAAAAAAATAGGAAAAAAAAAACCCCAAAGAAAAATAACAGAAATAATTTCTTGTTTGAAGAGCTCAGCACGGTATATTTTCAAGCTGAAAAGATGTGCAGTGGACTCTATGATGCTTACAGAGCAAATGCTCTTGAGCAAATGAGAAGTACTCGAGAGGGCTACAATGGAAAGCACTCAACACCCTGAGGACAGCCTGGAAGTGGGGGAGCAGGGAGGGCTGAGTCTCATGCTGCACCTTCTAGATGGAGAGTTCTTATGTTTGGTAGGGGAGTGATGGCAGCTGCTGTTGAAGCAGCAGTATAGAGGTGACAGTCAGAAAATGTGATAGTCTTCTGGCATACTATCAAAAGATTTGTTTTTAGTGCTCTGAAGTTCTTATATCTTCAGGCTTGAGTCTGCAGTACCTGCTCTTTTTGATAGGGATTTTTTCTTTCGAAACAGAAGTCATGACTGGCTATCTTAACAACATGAGCAGCATTATTAAATCTTTTCTAGGTAGTTTGAGTTCTAGAGGAAAGCTAGAAGAGATGGACTGGAGAAGAGCCAACCTAATCTATGTCAATACTAATCTACTAAATAGTTCTTTTCTAGCTGGAAACTTTGGCATACTGAGTGATTCGTGGACCTATTTATTTTTCTGAAAAGATGTGCAAGAAAGATATTATGTTTGAACAACTATTGGCAACTACACAAAGCTAAGCGTAGCATAGGTGTTTCTGTTAGATATTGCTGTTGTTTTATCCTTCTTAATAAGTTTCAAAAATTGGGTGATATACAGGTATGCATTGCTGTTTTTCATGCAAACTGAATGAGACAGTCTCTTATTAAGACTTCTGATTTACATGTGACAGATGTTCCAAACCCAAGCTTTTGGAATATGAGACATTGGTATATATATAATGTATTCAATGTGCATCGCATCCAATCTGCCACTTCAGATACAGATTTAATCTTACATCAGTGAGCACCAGGGACTGGCTTCAAAGAGACAGACTGACAGATGTTGTGTAAGAAGTCCCAGGACATTTTAAGAGTGTGGTGTGACCGCCTCAGAGCTTCTGGGAGGGAAGAAAATGTCTCTTCCATTCCCTCAATGGTAAATACTTCTACAGAGATGCCTTTTAGGCTACTTTATGTCTTTTTGACACTGTTGAATTTGGGGTGGACTGAGAAGTACAGTCAGATGCAAGGTACAGTGAAGCCACTGCCACCTCTATACCTATGGGATCATGCAAGCTTATTATGTTTCTTCTTCAGAATTTTTTACCGGCCTTGAGATACTTGCATTCCTGGGAATTGATAAACCAAGGATGATATCTATACAGAATATCCTGGTTTTTCCTAGTCACTTCTTCTGTTGGTTTAGTTTTAACATCCACAACAGCCTGCAATTTGCTGTTTCATTTCATGTACCCTCATCTGATTATGAGAGACAATGAATAATGATGAATTCTGTGTTACTCAAGATTTTGTAGCCACCATTTCTCTTCTTCACCTATTTCTTTTCCAGCCCTGGCTCTTTGCTCTTGAAGCAATCGTACCTATGTAACTGCTGACATACATTCCTGACATCCAAGCTGACCCACAGTGGGACAAAACCACTCCTACTGAAAAGAGGCTGAGTTTTTTCTCTGCGAAAATGGTTCTCTTACGGCTAAACATCTTCCTACTTACTGCCTCTTGTCTATGGATACACAGACAAGCCATGCACTGGATCAAAAAAAGGGAAAAAAGGTGGTGTATATTGAGACGCTCCTTCTGTAGTTATGCATATTCTATGGAAACAGGACATACTCTCAGGCTGATGTGAATTAATGCCTTGAAAACAGAAGCAGCCAATTGCTTAATGTAATTCTCACTGAAACGAACACTGAGAGAAGCATTGTCCTGGTTATGAAAGAGGTAAATCCTTGAGCTTTCTGTCACTGCTGAGATGGCCTGTAGCGCTGAAGAATGCTTTTTCTTCTTTGACACTTATATAGTAATTAGGTCTTGTACACAGACTGTGAAGTCACATTTCTCATAGTAGCCCAGTGGTCAACTTCTCTTGTGCCCTTTAGTCATAAGGTTTGTTGCCTTTCAAAACCCACAGGTGGCATTCAGAAAAAAAAATAGCGGCAGGGCTTAGCCTATATGAATCTGAGCTTAAGCCATCATTCAAGATGGCTATGAGTTATTTGGTCTGGCTTATTTAATTTAATCAAAAATAATCAGTTATATGTTGATTTGACGTTGTCAGTGAAACTAGAGGATATTTTTGCTTGTGACTAGCAATCACTGGCAGGGGTGGGGAACTTTAGAATATCTGTGTCTTCACTGCCATACAAATTCCTGGGCTGGAGAGCAGAGATGCAGAATAAACGGGGGCATATATATTCTTTGTGTTTATTCAGTGGAACAAAATGCCAAAGAGTTTAAGCTTTATCATGGGTTTCTAAAAAAATTGGAAGAACAGGGGCAAGAAGAATCAACATTCATTGCAATTAGCTACTGGAGACCGAGGACAAACATGAGAAGGAAGCATTATTTGAAGGATATGTGGATCATTTATTCCACCTGCAACCTTACACCATTCCAAGACATTAAATACCCTCCAACACCCTACTAAGAATCTATTTGAGATGAATATTATATAAACCAAAAGCTAAAGATGCAGTGTGCCAGAAGAAGGGAGCAGAAGGTACTGAGGACATCTGTCTTCTGTGCTGGACTTCTGAAGTGCTTGCACTGCATTCTGTCAGGCAACATTTCCTGGTAAAATTTATCTTAATATGAACAATATATGAAAACAAAAGCAAAGAGAGTAAATTTGGAAGCCATTCAGAAACTGCTGTCTGTAAGCGATATTTGAGAATTTGTTCACTGAAGTCAGCAGAATAATTTTTACTGGCTTCAGCGTGCTTAATTAGATGCTAAATTCTTGTAATCCTTTGGGTTAGGTGCAATTTTAGTTTCTGGCAATATGTCATTTTCACTTTTTTTCAGCCTGGAAGTAAAATAAGGATTTCTTCTTTTATTTTACATCTCTATTGTTTACATAACAAATAGCACATAAACTTGGCATGTTGAGCATATATATATATATTCAGAAATATAGGTGGCATAATTTATTATTGATCTGAAAGTAGAGATCTGAAGATAGGTTTATAAAAATCTCATGAAATCCACAGTTCAAAATAAACACTAAGACTTTTGGAAACTTCAGCTGCCCTCAGGATACACCATGACTAGAGGAAATGAGCAGCTGGCAGAGATTAGAACTAAAGCATTTTAAAGAATGAATAAAACTAATACAAAAAAAACTACACAGTAGACCCACCCATAGAATCAATTGATTAATCTAAGTCTTGATTTTTGTCCATCCCATATGAGCAGAATTTGCTTAACAGGAACTGAATTCTCATCTGATAGAGCTACAGTGACTTACCTGTATGGAGACGCTGCTATAGGAACCACCTATAACTCCTGCGATGAGTAATGGTAAATTCTCTTGAATGGCATATGAGCCATCTGGGCACATATATTCTGTTTCATCCACTTTAGTTAAAGATGCCCTGACAAACTCCAAAGACTGTTCTAAGGCATATGTATCCCTGGAACATGTGTCCAAGATGTGAACTCCAAGTTTAATTCCTGGCAGCAAATAGTTGTCTCTGTTGATTGCATCAATGGCAAACAACATGGCCTCCAAGCGCTGGATGCCTCGATCTTCATTGATTCTCCCACATTCTTCTATCCCAGTGCCTTTTTCATTGATTGGGAATAAGCCCCCTAAGACCAGGTCTCCTTCTATCTTAATTTCTTTCCTTACAAAGCTGTGGTCACTTAGGGAAAGGAAAACTCCTTTGGAAAACAAAGCTAGCGCAAAGACTTGCAATCTGGTGAACATCTTCATTGGTCCTGCTTTAGCAGCTCTAAGAAACATTGGTGGGAGCAAAAGTGCTCTTCATTCCTTCTGATCCATTGCCAAAACTGAAGTGTTGTCCCACAAGTCAGTGAAGAATGAGCAAGTAAGACTTTCCGCTGGATTTCTAAAGAAGAGATGAAAATAATTAGAAAAGGCAGAAGTGAGTTGTTACAAAGATTTATCAATAAAACATTTGAAAACAGTGTTAAGGGAATATGGACAGTACGGGTAATAAGAAATATATTTGTCTTGTGCTCTGGTAGATTACCTTATTCCATTTGCTCCATAACTGATTACAGACTAAGCATTTGCTTTGACAGCTGTGTGAAGGCCACAGACATGCAGGGTGATATACCTTATGTTGTCTACTGTTCAGCAACTTTTTACATTTTACAAAGAGAAAGATCACTGTGGGTTTTTTTTTTTCTTTTTTTTTCTCATAGCATCTTTTATTCTCATAGCATTCCGTGATCTCTCTATTCTGGACTCAGTCTTATGTGTTATCATTCACTGCATCTAGCTGCTTCTAGCCTTCCCTTAGTAAGCTTTTTTCTTTTTGTTGATTGCACCCTACTTAAAATTCCTTCAGCTATAACTCTACCACTGAGTTTTCTCCTTGCTGGCAGCTTTTGCTGAACCCACCACTTGGCCTTCACTTGGCCTACACATCCGAAGTCTCTTGCTGAAGTCTACCTACCCTGCCTTCCTTTAGTGGACTGCTCACCCGTTGCGAGCAATGGGAGTATGGAAGAAATCCATTGTGGTTTCACATCTATTTTTTTGCTGAGCATGTTGTTTGAAACACAGGAAGTGCCTATTTAAACAGGTGGGAAACAAGGGCTGTGTCTGTATTAAAAAAGTAAACAAGGCCATACCACACCAATTGACATATCCCTGCACAGTTTAGACTCAGATCAACTAACGGTCTTTTAAAAATGCCTGGGCAAGTGATGACCAGGAACTTTTCTCAGTAAATGATTTGGTTGTGTCCATAGAGGCTTGGTCATTTTGTACTGGTTTGTCTCATCAACACAGAATGACCTGTGGTCCAATTTAGTTATTAGCATAGCCGTTCTGCATGGCACTTTACTAAGTGACCTACCAAGCATATTTATTTTGTCGAAGGCCTAGAAATTGAACCTGGATCTCCCTATGCCTTAATCACAAAATCATCCCTCCTTGAGGCACAAAAGGTTCTCTTCCAAACAAATTAAGTCAAAAAAGGGAGAAAAAAATGAGATGAAAGAGAAAAAGGAGAGACATGACAAGGAGGAGTCTTGTATTTGATGCCTGCTTAGGGCATGGAAATGCCTACAGCTGGACTTGCTCTCTTTATTGTTAATCACAGTTCAATGCTCAGATCACAGAGAGAGCAGAGCAATGACGTATTTACATGATTTTGCTCTCTCTAAGATCAAAATATTCTCTGATGAGCTTAAAAAGAGAAAAATCAGGCTTCTAAGTGAAACTTATGATAATTCTGTGACCCATACACAATGTCTACCTATGGAGTACAGATACATGATTTATCTGTGGGCTCCCTGTCAATATCTTTTGAAAGATGTCAAAGCTGCTGCTTTGATCTCCAGCTTCTCATATAAATCAAGTGTGATCATATTCAAATAGATTAGTTTAATAATTTATTTCTGTATTTACCTTTTTCTTAACAGAATATATATTATTGTAAGATTTGTAGGGTTATTAATAATTTAGAAATACTTACCACAAAGGAATTGAAATAAGCAACAATTAAGTTTTAACAGTGAATGATGGATAAGCAAGCTTACTTCGAGGCAGTTGTTTATCATGGTACAATTTCAATGTTGCTGCACCAAACTGTGCAAAATGATAGTATTTTATTCATATTTACACCTACATTGTTCTCTCATAAATCAGTAATGTGACATAAGAACAGCTAAAGATCTTTTACTCCAAACCTAGTAATACTTGTGTAGACTGAGCTGCAGGCTGTCTCAGAACTTTCCATTCAGAAATAAGTGATTAATGGAAAACAAGCTTTCATTCCTCAGTGACCTACATAAGCCAGTCTGCTGATCGCATGTGGTCAATTAACCAGTTTCAGAAAAGACTTTTTATGTGTAATGTTAGGAGGAGTAATGAAGTAATTGTTCAGCAGTCATTTCTATTTCAGACTAAGTGCTATAATTTACCAAATAATACTCAAATGTATGTAGGACATAAAAATATTGAAAACATCCAATTGAAAATAATTACCAGACAAAAGGGCAGCATTTTTCACATACATTTTTTTGTATGATTAATAATTCAATAGGTCTGTCTTCCACTGTCATTAATACAATGCATGGATAAAAACAGACCTTTGGAATCTTTTAGTTTGATTTCATACAATATCCATTCTATTTGCTTCTGTAGCTTCTGTCATCATTATATCTTGGAAACTGTTCTTATATTTACACTTACAACACTTATAAAACATTCTTCTCTGTTTTGCACTTGGATAAAAAGAAGCACAGAAAGATAAAATGAGATTCTTAGAAGAATCTAAGTCCAGATTTTTACAGAATGGTAGAATTATAGGAAGGACCCTCTGGAGATCATCGTGTCTAATCCCCTCTAAAGCAGGTTCCCTACAGCTGGTCACACTGAAAGATTTCCAGAGGAGTCTTTATTTCCAGATGTGATTCCACAGCGTCTCTGGGCAGCCTGTTCCAGTGCTCTGTCACTGTAAAGAAGTTCTTTCTTGTGTTAGTATGGAACTTCCTGTGCTCCAGACACATTCTCGTGGCACTCACTTGTGCAACCAGTGTTAGAAAAGGGCTTCACTTCTCTTCAGATATTGAAGAACATGGTTTTGGCAGTGCCTTGAACAGCTTGGTTCTCTTGTGGAGCTCTGAGCTCTTCACAGAGGTAAACCAGAGTTAAGCCAGGGACTTTCATCTTTGTTTCTTTAATCTGGAAGAATCTTTGATAGCAAAACAAAATTTTCTATCTTGAAACTGGGGTTTTCTCTGGAGGTGCTCTTGGCTAGGTTAGATGGGGCCTTGGGCAATCTGATCTAGTGCCTGATATGGTGCTTGGCAACACTGCCCAGTGTGGGAAACAGATGGCCGTTGAAGTCCTTTACAACTCAAGACATCCTGTGACACTATGAAACCATAGGAAGACGCTACATGCAGCATTCTGCTTTCCAGGAAAACACAGTCATCCCATCCTATGGGTTCAGATTCTTCATTTATATACAGGAGACATTTAAAAGAACACTGCACTAGTCACCAAATATAATTCTCTTTCTGAAGTCTCAGAAGTCTGTACCCTGCTGCCCACTTAGTTGTGTTGCCAAAGAGCAGGTCAGGGAGTGGGAGCTGTAGTGTGAAGGCTGATTGGGCTGGGGAGCTTCTCCCTGGTGTTCTAATGGAGTGATGCTTCCAGGATGAACAGCTTCTCAACAGTTTGTGAAGCAGATCAGGGTGGCTGGTGAGTGGCATCACTATGGTGACACAGAACAGACAGCTTGACGTGAAGAAGGGAGGATATTTTAAAGCAGCTCGCAAAGATGGGCTAGCATCACAGTTTCTCTCCTGTTCTTGCTGTTGTGCTCCTCCCACATGCTTTCTATGCAGCTTACATAATTCACAAATATCTATAGGGACATTTTGTACCTATTCCAGGCTAATACAGAACATGTTCCTCCCCTGAACCATTGTGAAGGTAGCACCCTGGGTCAACCTTTGCTATTTCCTAACAGAAGGGATTTCGCCACGCTGACCATTGCATTTTGTCTTTGCAGTAATTCTCGCTTAAAACCATAGAATCACAGAATCATTAAGATTGGAAAAGACCACTATGATCCTCTAGTCCAATCATCAACCCAATCCCTCCATGCCCACTAACTATGTTTCTCAGTGCCACATCTGCCCTTTCCTTGAGTACCTCCAGAGCCGGTGACTCCACCACCTCCCTGGGCAGCCTGTGCCAATGCCTCACCACTCTTTCTGAGATGAAATTTTTGCTAATATCCAACCATGTTTCTAGGAAGGTGGATTAACATTTCAGAAAGAAGCATTTGTTGATCAAACTACAATTCCCTCATTTTTCATTTATGTTTAATATTTTAACTCTGGCCATAGACAGGGCTATATTTTTCTAGGGGTTCTGTTAATATAAAAAATATTAAAACTATATACAGCCATATTGAGTTTGGATCCCTGGTGGAAATAGATGTAAAGACTAGGCATAGAAGTGATCCAAGCATCAAAATGAAAAATAAACAGAAACAAGCACAAAGAGAACAGTTTCAATGTCTGGATCAGAAAGCTTCTGTCAGCACTTCCCTGTGTGAATTCAGCCAGCAGCACTCTGTTTGTGAACTACTTTTCCTGGGCAGGCTGCCTTTGGAGCTCCTTCTTTTTCCACCAAAGGTCCACAGGGGAGAGTGACATCTGCTCTTGGAGGACACTGTCAGAACTTCCTTCAGAAAAATCAACTCACTTGTGTTAAGACAGCAGCTGTGCAGCTTTTGTTGAAAAGACCCTTCTCTATTGGTTTGAAAAATTCTTTTTTTTTAAATTTTTTACACAACATTTCAGTGCTTGTAAAAAGTTGACTGCACAGTTCAGTACATGTACATGTTCGTAGCCTTTCCCTCAAAACAGCAAGAATCAGGAAAAAAAACGATGTCTGGGTTATCCAAATTCAGTGTTCCACTGCTATCATCCACAAAACAAAACATCTTTCATGGCTTTCTTCCAGAGTTATATGCATATGACAGTTCTGGTCTACAGCAGGCTTTTTGCTTTCAGCTCACAGAGTAGAATCACCTCTGCTATTGGTTCAGAAGTGAATTCTTGTTAGGCTTGAGGTGTCACTGCAATCTCTTTTTCTGAGTGTCAAACTCTGAAAAGAAGTGCAACTGCATGTTCCATTTAGCCTGATGACTTGTAAGTAGAGTACGATCACAGATCAATAAGAAATTTGCTGACACCTTCCACCATATCAGCACCGATGTCTGGCATTAGCAGTCTATCTAACAGCAGTAGACTTTCCAATTTTCCACTTACGAGGTTAAGGATGGAATGAGAAACTTCATTGATTGCTGAGGCACCTGAGATCTCCTAGTAGGTTCCAAA